CCCCCCCCCATTCTTCCTTCTTCACTTTCTTAAATAATAGGACTACAAAGATAACTGGTTTCTGTTGCCACTTGATTTATAACTTTTTAAGCCTCGGCTAAAGTGGAATCAATACAGGTGAATAGCTCTTTTCAGTTCCAGTTATTTTTATCTCCGTGTGCTCGAAGATTTCCGAGTTATGCGTGTTATTTTTCCTTTTGATTTTTTTTCCTTTCACTGCGCCAACTTAATAAGCCCTCTTCCCCCCCCCCCCCCCCCCCCCCCCCCCCCCCCCCCCTCGATTAAGTGCCCTCCTTCCGATAATTACGTCCTTCCCCCTCTTTTAGCCGAAATTTTAAATAAGCGTCCGGGTGCTTATTCAAGGAAATGTGGTATTCAAATTTGTAGGCTTGCTGTAAGTGGTTCGTGGGATTATCCCGTGTGCGAGTTAGTTTTACCGCGTTCCCATTTCGGTGGTATTTTCTGGTCCATTATTTTTTGTATCATTCTCATTTCCGGATTATCCTTATTATGAGAATTTTTGTAAATCTGCAAATGCACAATGATATGCTAATGTAAGAATGACGTCACAGTAAAGAAGCCGATCACGAAAACCTACCACCAGTCTCCCAATAAAACCTCTCAGATTCATTTCTTCAATTTATTTCACAGGTGTCCTCATCTGCATTTTATTCGTGTTTAAGAAACAAGTGATTACCCTGTACAAACAGAGGTTTATAAACAAAACAAATCCTGGGCCGGAGCCGAACGGAGATGATCAAAACAGGATTACTGATCAGGAACCCACAGGAAACGGGGACGGTTATTAAAGTGTAGCCATCCTCTAGACAGCAAGAGACTTGTAAAAACAAAAAAATAGAGGAGTTGGAATAAAACCGTATCATTAACAGTACTGGAGTAGAATGATGAGTTGGTACCAAACTCCTTGTTACACGCTCCCTCGTTGTAACAAAAAATTCGAAAAGTAGTAGTCCAAAGACGTATTTAGAGATAGAATAAATTTCTGAAATCCAAAAGAAATTTAGCTTGAAATGAAGACTTCGAAAGATCTTGATTCCATTTTGCGACAAAAAAACCCAAAAGTAAAACTGAACTGTGCGGAACGAGGGAACAAGAAAGTTCCCTCGTCAACTTCTATTGCCAAATTCAAATCTGTGGACGAGAATGGCTAACTTATCGTATCATGCGCGCCGCATAATACTAAAGAATGAACTATGCCAAAGCATGAGGACAATTTCAACACTTGTGTTACTTTCAAGAAAGATTACCGACATGTTCTGAGAGACACTAATTCTTCCATTCGAAAATCAATAATACACTGAAGACTATTACCGTCGTTCGAATGCCATGGCTTTAGCAATTGCAAAAAATTCTAAGTATCCACTCAACGATAAAAACCGAAATTGTTCTACTTTAAATCCCGGCTCATTGTTGGCGCGAGAAAGATAACACCGCATCCCAAACGAGCACCTGCGTTACCAGTTATCAGGCTTTCGCGTCTGGCTGAACCAACCCCTCGTCCGAGGTCGTCAGGTCTCTGATGAATCTGTGAACAAGAGAAATTAAAATAGTTAAAGATGCAAACCGTTTAGGGCGTAGCATATAAAAATTGTCCTCATCTTCAACCAACACTGGACAGTGAACTGTGGTCGCGTGAGGCTTGGGACGGGAAATAAAGGTTTCTCCGCTCAAACGTTAGCTGCCCGTTTTTGCGGCTCCGCCCTCTTCATGAAAAAAAGCGTCCGCCATCCTCTCAACCGATAAAATTGAAGAGCTAAAGCTTCTGATTGGTCATTCCGTCTATTATCGTTTTGGTTCTACGATTCTCGATCGAGTAGTGGTCAACTTACCACAAACGCTCGTCCTAATACTGATAAGGGTCCGACAACAGAAATAAGATGATCGGAAAACTTTGCTTTGATAGTTCCACTTGCATCCGCAACAAGGTTACCCAAATCTCCAACATGGCTGCAGATGAGAAACAAAATACCTTACTTTCCAATATACAGTCCTTGTATATCGTCAGGCAAAGCTTATAGAGGCAGTATAAATATTACAGAGCCTGAATGTGGGATCAAGTCAATTTTGTCGCAACACGATCAAAATCCTCCGACCTCCCTCTCCCCACTCCCCGAGCGATAAACACTGGCTCCCCACCCCCCGCCTCACCCCGGGCGATAAACACTGGCGGTTCGCTTACCGAAATTGGTCTTGAGGTGCTCCATGGCAAAGATTAAACGGGTTGTAATGGCCTCCCGTGCTCTGACATCCTAAGAAAAATTGTCGTATTTATTATATGATTAAATCTTTGATCAAGATAACAACGTACATGTCACTTTCAACCATAGTTAACATGTCGGGTCAGACAAGTGTCTCACGACACATGCCGATACATGCCGATGATTGCCGACGACGATTGCCGTTGATTTTTCAAGGTGTTTGAACTTCATTTGTCAGTCTGTTCTTATATTTCCCTTCATTGTTTCTTACTCGTTCTCACTTGATCGCTTGTCAAAATCGAAACGAAAACTGTGTTTATGTTGACCCAAAAAAAACACCTTGAGAGGAACTAAAATTTGAAAAAATTTCGGAGATAGTTTTGTAAATTTTTTATTTGATGTCAACTTTATCTTCAAAAGTACTTTGATGTGTTGTTTTTGTTACGATAGGAACTGATTATCTGTAATTCGAGGCGTGACTTGATTTACGTGGGGCGCACACCTACGGTGGCTAATTTACCGGATGTAACCCCGTGCATGATTTTAGCCGTATGAAATAAACTGGTTGTTTTGAAACTGAAAGTTGTCTTCTCATTTTTGTCACAACGTACCTTCCGTTAAAGTATCTCCGTACTCGTGAACATGAAAGCCATGTGTGGTGTTAGGGCCAAGACCTGATATATTTATTTCTATGCATGTTAAGCCTCCATACCGCTGCAGAAAGAAAAAAGCAATACAAAAATTTTCAACTGGGTCCAAAAAGTAATCCGTGATCTCTGCTCTGTGATTGGTTTAGGAAACTAGTATTACCCTAAAAGACGGTTGTCAAGACAGCGTGATAAGATACTCGTAACCAGTTCACCTTACCGGTTGTGTCAGTTTGACTGTTCCTCTCACTGGAGTCTTGGTGCCGGGAGGTGGTTGGGAATTAGGAGCGATAAAACTCATAGCTTTTACTATATCTGCACCTAAACGAGAAGGAATGAAAACTTTAGAAATTGTAATACCATTGAAATTGTTTTCTTCGATGAAGTGTTGTAAGGAGGATTTGTCACTTTCCTTTTACTTATTGACTGACTCACAGCCAGACAGGAAGACTGACGACTGACTGACGGACTGTCAAAAAGACTAACCGGGTATTTTAGTATTATCAACTGGGTTGATAACGTAAACTGGCCACTGTAAAGAGTTTTAAAGCTGACGTTTCGAGCGTTAGCCCTTCGTCAGAGCGATTGGCGAAGGGCTAGCGCTCGAAACGTCAGCTTTGAAATTCTTTACGGCAGCTAATTTACGTTATCAACTCAGTTGATAATACTAATTAAATTACCCTGTTGTACTTTCCCACCGACGCAACACCACAGTTTCTCTAGAAACTGACCCCATTTATTCATTTGTCGTAAAGACCGACTGACTGACAGACTGAATGACCTGACTCGACCATAAACTGATTGAAAAGGTTGAATGACTCATTAACTGACAGTCAGATTGACTCACCAACTGGCTAACTGACTGAGTCACTGACAGACCGCAAGACTGACGGACGGCACATCGACCAACTCTCTGACTGGTTCACGTAAGAACTATCGCAATAGCTTACGGCTCGACCTACTAACATAATTATTCAGTTTACTTACCAGGATAACATCCGTAAACGTGGTCAGCAGCTACCGTTGCCACAACGCTCAGTGCCCAAGTAAAAATCAGAACCATTCTTCCTACGGATTTTAGAAGTTCGTAAATGTCACTAACGTTACCTTACCAAGATGCATGGGAAAGTGCAGGAAGGCGAGTGCATTCCGTGATTTTTGCATATGAGTGGTGTTTTTAAAGATGTCTTCAAAACGTCTCGAATTACAAAATTTAAGAGCATTTCAAATAATTTTCTTTTCTTTAACATAAAATCTTTCCCTAAACCTGCTTTGTAAATACTAAATCAGTAGATAGCGTCGAAGGCGCGCTCTGATTGTCTACTCAAACACCGAACATCCATTGCCATTCACCTTGCAGAGATGAACGAGTTAAAATCATCTTTTTGAGCTATGTTATCTCATTGTTTTAGTATATACCAAAACAACTATTTACCTCAATGTCGGTGGCTAGTTGTGTCTTACTCGAGGAAGTATCCATGTTCACTGTATGTATGTTATAGTGAGTAAATGGTAAGCCACTGCTTAGAGTATGTTTGAGAGATTTCCACTATACTTATGTTGGGGAATCATACTAGAATGACGAATCATAGAACTCGAATGAAAAGAAATTATGAATTTTCGTGCCTTAAATTAGGAATAATGAAATACGAGTTACTGTTTAAATACGTCACGAGTATCGGAAAAAACATGTCAATAAATCATAAATCCTTGGCTACAAAAAGGCAAGGATCACGAATCAGGTCAAATAATTCCTACTATGGCCCGCGTGTGTGATACAAAAGTAATTATCCCAGTACAAAGTTATATATTCAAGTCGAAAATTGTTTACTCCAGTATAAAAATATTTATCCTAGTATAGAAATATTTGTCTCAGTACAACATTAGATTCGATTCCACCTCCATTAATCCCGATAGAATTGTTCGCGAGATGAATTAAATATGTAACGTGAAGCATAACCTTTCTGGAGTTTTTTCTAAACTGTTTATCTTAACCTCAAACATGCAAGCTAGTTGATGTTCTTATCAACAGTTGTGTGAGCACCTCTGCATACATTCTAAAAATCGTTGTTCAACAATTCCGGAGCCTTTTTTTGCTTCTTCTTTTTATAAACGTCGGAAAGATTCAAATTCCGATTCTTTTAGAGAAAATCTGGCCAGAAAAGAGATTTTTGGCGTTGCTAAACGGCACGATCCACCTCAGACATGTATCAAAAAAATTCACCTACGACTGCAAACACTTTTTTTGTAGCCGTCTAACTCTAAAATCTAAGAAAAGGAATCAGGTCTTACCTGCGAGGTGAACTTCAGAGCTTAACTGGAAAACGTGCGTGTCAATTCAACTGCCTGTGTGGCCTGTTCTCTAGTTGTTCGTGTGACTTCTCGTGTGTCTAAATGGCAATAAATAGCAGGTATTTGAAGGTGGCTAGTTTCCGCGTAGGAAACTTGTTCTGCTCTCTAACCTGTTGACCCCTTACCTCCCAAGAGCCAGTGATATAGACAGACTTTCTCCTTACAATATCAATACAATATCAAGCAGACAAGTGAAGAGAATAAAGCAAAATAGCAGTTAGGAGATTATGAGTAGATCCATCACCAAATTCTCCGAACTAACATCACAAGAGTTGTATGACAGACAGCAAGGAGAATTATCTATGAGATCTTGGGGTGAAAGGGTAACTCAACTCATCTATCAATCACAATAGTGGACAATTTCCTGGTTGGTGGTTTCTATAGATATTGACATTTGTCATTTTCTACAAAACTGAAAAATATTCCGCGCCTTTCTTATGTTCTTTCAAGGGTAATCAATTCAATTTATTAATATCACCCTTTGAAGGCTCAAAATCGCCAAAATTACATCTGCTGTCAAGAACGATGACGGGGACATTTGAGGAAGTAGAACTCAGGTCTTGAATAAAACCTATATCGCGAGACACAACGTAACAAAGCCTTCCCACAACAAGTTTTGTCAGCGATATTCGACTTACGATAGGAGATGAACTTTATTCGATTCTCTCACGATGGAGTCACTTTGGATGTTAATCGTGAGACAAAGGAATAAAATTCATCTCCTGTCTTACTCAACGATGAACAATAACCACATACGTTATTAGATATTCGACTTAGTTTGCAATATTTATAATTGTTTCCAATACACAAGCTAACAAGAGTGAACGAGAACTCGCTCGTGCTATCTTTGAAAGCTTGGAAAGCTCATTGTGACAGTCTTTCAAGATGCCCTGAGAATGTGAAAGACCTCCTCTCCTTAGTTTGTACTTTGGAGACCAAACGTTGATAACACTGGGTCACCAACACCTATCGGAACAAGTTTACGTCATTGCGGGGTTCCCCAAGGACCTAACCTGAAATAGACACATGCTTTCAACATGAAAAACGCAAATGAAGTCACTTTTCATTCCCCTTCAGAAGTGGCTCTCTAGAGGCTCCTTCAACAAACGATTCATTAAATTTGTAATGCTTACTCAATCAAACAAAAGATTCCCTTGATGACATCTCTCCAGTCTGAGAGTCAATAACCTAAATCTTAAAATATACCAGCACTTTTCGTCTGTTTTCACTGAATGCAGAGGCGACACGATTAGTCGTTAGGCTCACCAGACGTAACCACTCAAGTGTTCCTCTTGATCAAATACAAGAAGAGTCTCGTTCCTAAATCAGTCAAAGGCTACTACAGGAGACGATGAAAAATATATTTTTTTGATATTTAGCTTGAACCCCTCCATAAAAAAAGAAATGAAATAAATGAGTAAATAAATAAATGACAATTTGAATCTCCTTCGGATTCGTTCCGATTTCGCCGCCAGCAGCTCTTCCTCCTCAGCTAGGGATAGCTTATTGGCTTGCTCCGTCATAATCTAAATTTGTATATAACACGTTTCCGACTAACTGCATAATCCAGCAATATCATTGCTGAAAGCTTTCTGCCCTTGATGTTAGGATAATAAGATTTGAACACGCTAGTCGAATAAATTAACACCATTGACTGTTTGTCCCAAGCCTTTGGGATAAGAAAATGATTTTACGAATTCAGGAAAAGCTCTTTTGAGTTAGTGAAAAGAGTCTCAGTCTCGAAGGGGTAGCTGTGACGACGGTTACAGTTAGATTTTTTCAGGTTAAATTCAAATGCCTATGACGGTAGACGTTTATTAGAAGAATATTTCTCATACAGGTCACATTAGAGCTAATTTTGTTTGTTTAAAATGTAAATCTGTCTAGAAGTTCAAAGCGACCTTGCCATAATCTTGCAAATCGCTAAAATTTCGCCTCTCATCTAAGGAATCGAAGTCCTGCCTCGGAGGATTCCAAATTTTGGCAAAACAGGCATTTTGATTAAGCCATTTCAAAATTAAAATTTATACATTGCGGAGGTCATGTCTGAAACAAGTACGTCGTGAATTACGTTTCCTTGAAGCCGATTCTACCCGCTGAAACGCCTGCTGGTAGTGTACCAAGAATACTGAAATTGCTGTGTTGCTTTTCTGTTAAGACTGAAAGACAATATTCTACCCAAAAACGTACCCGAAAGCCGATACGATTCGTGGCATGATCAGAAACAAATTATCGATGTAGTGAACTATTTTGATTATCAAAATATTTACAAGATAAAGTTTTTTTCCAAATTGTCGAAAATTAGTGAAAATTTCCGTAGAATGAATATATTTGGAAACTTGGAGATTGCATTCCAGGTGTAGAGAATCTTCCAGATCGCGAACTGTGCGATGCAAGCTGCTACAATAATGAGATTTGAAAGAACTTTAAACAATTTGATTTTCCTGAATAAAATAAAGGAAATATATGTTATTTTCCG